ATATTGAAATATGTGAACCCACCGCTGCGCAGGAACAACAGAGCCGCCAATCACCCCCATCTCAGGGAAGCGGTTGATGAGACGAGCCTCCAGGAAGGTCCACAGCGGAGGGTGACATATGCATTTTTCGATCAGCTTGGTGACGCAGCTTTGCAGGCCCATCGAAGTGGTCGGTGATGCTTGCCATCGATCAGCTTCTGCATTGGCGGAGGCCAGGTGTGCCTGCGAGTAGTCAGGGGAGACGTTGGAGGGAGAGCTGCCCCTTACTCTGGCCAGCGTTTCGACAAAGGCCTCAGATTGCCAAAAGTGTGGATACGGTGTCCCCCGCCAGAAAGAGCTTGAGAAAGCACGCGGAGGTCGCCTAGCTGTTGGTGTTGGCGATACATCCAATTATGTAGTCTTTGAAATTCAGGGAGCGTCGTGCGCGAGGTCCTGACCAGAGCCCCAATGCTCATGGCGAGGCACGAAGGAACCGATGGTCCACCAGCGCTTCGAAGTTGAAGCCGAGCAGAGCTGTTGAAGGTGCCGAGAGGGATCCTGAACGTCCTGGATAGGGCCACTAACTCTTCACGGGGAAGCCAGCTGGGCATCGTGCGAAACTGCGCGACGCACGAGAGCACGGGAATAATTCTTGTGGTGTAGTTGACTGCGAGCCGCGAGACCGCAAGCGGGCTCATGCCAACCAATCTCGAACTTAATTTAACTTTGATCGACGGCGGCAGCCAGCACGAGCTTTCATCTGCAGCAGGGCCCAGGACGAGACCGAGGTAAGTCAGGGAGCTAGCCACCTGAATATTGGTGAAGAAGGGTACCATGTCACGTATCGATTTGTGCATGGGGGGCGCAATGTCCTCTGTGAACTTGGCGTGGAGCGGCACCAGCAGGCACTTGGTAAGCTTGAGCACCAGCGTGGCAATCTTCTCCGCTGTCTGCATCACGTCAGCAAGGATGCGGAGTGCCCGCAGCTGCTTGACGACACCGCCAATAGCATCAGCGCAGGCACGAGCAAGGCCAAGTCTTGGCCCCTCCATCCGCGACTGAAGGCCGAAGAGAAAGCAGGCCGTCACTGCCGCGTATATCGACCCGCTGAGCGAGCATCCTTGAATGATACCAGATGAGATGCGCCACGCAAAGGCAGGAAGCCCATTCTTCATCACAGTAGCGTCCTGGATATGATAAAGCTGTTCCAAGATTGCCATGAATGCATAGGGGGCCTGCATTTGCTGAAAGACCACCAACATGAAGGACTGCACCAGACTCGGGAAGGCCGCGCCGAAGCCCAGTGCGACCAGAGCAGGAAAGTCCGCGCTTGCCGCTGGTGAGTTAGAGCACGTGCGGGCGGCAACGTCAAGCTCGAGGGTGTTGACACCAAAGTTCCACTTGGGGATGAATCCCCTCTGGGAACGGGGGGCCCAATCCATAAGCAGCCTGCTGAGTTGAATGTTGACAGTGGCGGTGGTAACCTTGATGTCCGTGTTCCGCAAACCCAGCACGCGTGCCGCCCCAGGGGAGCAAGTGCACCCAGTGGCCAGAGAGTCTTCTCCTCTCCCCTGGGATGCCAGGCCTGCAGCGTGTCATTTGAGCTCTTGACAAGGGATTGCCCCTGCATAATCCACACCATAACGTCCGAAAGCACATTGACCCCAGCGTCGGTAGCCGCCCAAGCCGAGGAAGGGATGGAGCCCAGCCCAGGCTCTGAGTAGTGCATATTGATAGCAACGCGCCTCCAGAGGGCGGGCGATGGCGGCTCAGCCACGGTGAAGTCCAATTGCGGAACGTGTTGTTCGATGTAAGCTTGCGCCAGCCCGAGGTCGATCGGCTTGGCCTGAAAGATACGGGGGCCCAATGCTCGATCAGGCGGTCTGTCATAGTCGCAGAGTCGCTGGAGATGCAGGTCGGGCCAGACGGGTGCTTCACCACCCGTAGTACCAAACGGCGGTTGGGAGGAGACCAGATGCTCGAGCGCCGCTCCACTGCGGCAAGCTGACGACGCAAAGCCTGCGGAGTACGGGGACGGGCCAGACGTTCCTCAAGTCGAGAGCGAAGCTGATCAGCATGTCGGCGTTGTATGTCACCACGCCAGTGTTGGAAAGAGGCGGGATGGCGCAGACGGGCCAGGTTGTCCCGAATCTCTGAGAAGTCGTAGGCCGCCGTATGGTTGGTCATCAACTTGCGGGCCAGCATGTGGTCATTCCGCCAGACCACCCTCGGGATTTGTCGAGCAAGTAGCAGGAGTGTCGCATTGGCCTCTGGCGCCATGTGAAAAAAGCCTGTCACGAAGGTCAGCAGCGACCTCTCGAATAGCCCATTCACGAAGTTCGCTATGACAAGGGGGGCTTTTGTCCGCATAGTTGAGCTTGTCGCATACCGTCTTGAGCTGCTTTTGCAATTCATCACTTTCAAGCAGGCGCCCTGGGGTACGATGAGCCTGAGCTGGCCGAAGAGATCGCTGCGTGAACTTCACCACGTGCGCCGCATGATCGCTGACATTGATCTCGGCGAGGTGCTCAGTACAATCGATGACCCCAGGTTCTGCCGTGAGCTAGGTCATAATCCACCCAGGCCAACTGCACCAAAGCCTGTCCAACATAGAAACGGAGTGAGAGTGGCGATCGTAGTGCGTCGGCTCGTCCGCGGAGATTTTCATCCTGGTCTTGAGCACCGTATTCCAGCGGGCAGCTCTGGCGCGTTGTCCTTTGCCCTGGGCTAGACGACGGCGAGGCCGGTGAAGGAGAAGAGGAGCGCGTGGAGCAAAATTGAGATCACCATGAAGTATGACAACATGGCGAAGCGGATCACGTTGAGCCGCTTTGGTGTCAGCGGCCAAAACTTTCGACACCCCACTGATCAGGGCAATGGTCAAGTCGTGGTTGTGTACATTGTAATGGTAAACAAAGAAGCCGTCCAGGCGTAGGGCTACTCGTAGCACTCTGCCAGGGACTAATGATCGCTGAGAGACCTTCGCACGGCATTCAGCAGGAAGGATCCTAGCAACACCTCCCCGTGCTGCAGACCCCTCGCAGTAGCTGGTGCAACCCCCTGCACGTGGCGCAACTTTAGAGAGAAAGTCGGCGAGCTGCTTCTTGTCCTGGTGAACCTCATGGATAGCAACAACACCACATGCGAAGTCCAATCTTTTGAGGTAGGCAAGCTTCGGCCGAGCAGCATGTCCATGATATTGAAGAAAGGCGCGGGCATTCCACGATGAGAAAGCAAACGACGGGGAAACGCCAATCGTCCATGAATAGCTGCAGCAAATCCGCTAAAGAGACCACTCTGCCGCTTCAAGTGGGGGGATGATGCCCTTGACAGCCACCGCCAGCTGTTCCTTCGGGAGCGCCAGCTTCTGGACAATGTTGTCGGCCCATGCGATCTCCGAGGGGATGTTCCCAGGGTTGGGGGAGAGGCGGAGCACAGGGTCCCACCCCGCCATGAGGTAGCCCCTTGTCACGGTCAAAGAACCACCTCTTATCAGGAGCAACGTTCTTGATGGCCTCCCTGAGCTTGCGGCCCTGGATCTCCAGCTTGATTTGACGTGGGTTCTTGTCCGCACCAATGTGGATGCCCGCCATCTGCTTGTCCATGGCCATGACTTCGAATCGCTTCCATTGACCAGGAGCGAGCCGTTGAGCACCAAGGACCTGAGAAACACGGCGCGCGGCAGGCCCGGCCGCCCCAGAGAATTGGATCGTGAATTGCTTGGCGACCTGCTCGCTGGAGGGGATCGTGAAGAACTCAGCCTTAATACCGCAGCTGGCGATCCAGTCCGACATGATTTGCTGCGCAGCAGACAAGTCCACCAGCTTGGACGCCATGATGCGAATGATCGTTGCGTCGCTATCCCTGTCGAAGCCTGCAGCACTCGCAGGAGGAGGTTTGGGCTGGACGTTGGCGATCGCGAGGGCGGCACGGAGTTCTTGAATTTGTGCCCGAAGAGTCTGAAGTTCAGAGTCGTGCCCATCCAGCCTGTTCTCCACCGCGCGGAGCCGCACAGAGTGGCCGCGCAGCTGTTCCTGGAACTTGCGGTAGAAGGCATCCAGCTTTTCGGAACAAAATTGCTCGGATGCTTGCTTGGCCATCGCTGGAAGTTGTTGTACTCCCTCTGCCAGCTTCCCAGCAGCACGCGAATGCTCAGTAAGCTGAGCAGCAAAGTCCTGGATCTGGTCGGAGACCGTCGCTGAGACAACCTTGGTGAGGTCCCTGATGAGCTCGCCCCTGTGTTCGGCCATCTTTTTGGAGACATAGTCCCCTGCCAGCTGCTTGATGTAATCGTCTTTTGTCCACTCGTCCTCGCTGTTGATGTCCTCATCATCGTCATCCCCCGCAGCAGGAGCCGCAATGGAAGAAGCACCCGCAGTAGGATGTACAGGAGTGTCTGAACCAGCAGCCAGCTCATCGCCTTCATCACCGACAGCAGCACCATCAGCCTGAACACGGCGGGCCTTCTTGATCTTCCTCTTGGGGCCGCGGACGGCCTGGAGTCCACCATTGCGGTCGCCGCCCACGAATGACTCTGAGCGTTCGAGAGGGCAGGAACGGGAAACACCTCCGTTTACCCACCAATTCGAGCGCAGGTGTGGAGAAAAGCACTGCCAGACCCCAAGTGTCTTGCTCGCCGCGGACTAGCGGTATCCACTTGTTCCCCCGAGGAACATTGCATCTTGAGCCAAAATGGTTTCAGCCAAAATGGCTACGGAGGGGGAGGAGGAGGAGGAGGAGGAGGAGGAGGATGGGGGGGGAGGAGGGGGAGGGGGAGGGGAGGAGGAGGAGAGGAGGAGGAGAGGAGGAGGAGGAGGAGGAGGAGGAGGAGGAGGAGGAGGAGAAGGAAGAGGAGGGGGAGGAGAGGGGAGGGGGAGGAGGAGGAGGAGGGGGAGGAGGAGGAGGAGGAGGAGGAGGAGGAGGAGAAGGGGAGGAGGAGGAGGAGGAGGAGGAGGAGGAGGAGGAGGAGGAGGGCTGCCCGCTCTTCCCTCGCGCCCTCCCGAGGGCGGCGACAGGAGGACCTGGCCGCCGCCGAAGCTGATGGACGATGTGCCGCCTGCGCCGCTTCGCGGGGCCCCGCTCTCCCGGTCGCGAGAAGCTCCCCCCCCCACGGTAAATGACTACCTACCAGACCACCCCAACCCAACCCGACGACCCGAATCTCGGGTTGGGGTGGGGGTACGGGTTCCATCCGTGTTGTTTCAATGTTCCCGGACCCCGCGCGCCAGAAATGGAGGGCAAATTGAAGCCTTCGGGTTGGGTTGGGGTGATTTGGTGGGTGGTGAGTGAAGATGTAGACGGCAAGACGACGACGACAACGACGACGACGACGACGACGACGACGACGAGCCAGCGCCTTCCTTCTTGCAAATGAACTCCTCACTGCACATCCTCGACCGCCATGCGTTCAGAGAGACGCCAGGCAGACCGGGAAAGCCGACCCGCGAAAGGTAACACTTCGTGAGGTAAACCGCCAGCCTGAGAGAGAGGGAGAGAGAGAGAGAGAGAGCGAGCGCACGAAAGGTAACAAATTACCGCCCCCCCAGCGCTGGCCGCAAGCCAGAGGAATCGTAAAGCGATGCGTCCCGCTTGAGAGGGTATTTTATTTGCACCAGCGTGGGCAGCGTGGTTGCCAAGAGATTGCTTGCCCGTGCGGGTGAGAACCTACGATGTGTAAGAATGGCCCCTCGGCTCCTACTGGATAGCCCAAACTGGCACGGCCGATAGATCCAACACAGCGTGAAATAAGAGGAAGGCGGACGAGCAAGAGAAGGAGGACAGTACTGCATAGCCCGAACGGGCACGCCGACAAATCCAACACAGCATGAACTAAGAGGGAGGCGGAAGAGAGAGAGAAGGAGGACAGGAGGGCGAAGCCAGCGGGCCAACGCAAAACAGCCTCGCGCGTTCGTAGACTAGCCACGACTGCCAGTGCCAGTGCCCGCAAAAGTGGTTCAAACGTTATGCCGCCACTCACGTCGACGCCATGTGGTGCATAGCGTGGTCGATGGGCTGCGGGACACGCTGCACCCAGCAGCCGATTGGAGCTCTCCTTCCCCCTCGCCTCGTTCCTCTCGATCTCGCCTCCTGGAGGCGGAGCGCCCGCTAGCCCTGCTGGGGCTGGCCTGCTGTCCGCCTCTTCCGCCTGTCTCGTCCTCGCTCGCCCACGCAAACTGGAGCAGCTCAATCTGCTGGTTGCTCAGATGTTTGTTGGTCTCCTCTTCTCTTCCCTCGGCACCTCCCTCCTCTCTTCCTTGTGGCGCGTTCTGGAATCCTCTTGCGTCGCCTTCCTTGCGAACCGCTGTGGTCCATACACGTCGGCATCCAGCCTGCAGCAGTATACGCTTGCGCACTTGGCGTACAGTCAACCCGTAAAAGAAGGGCGCACGATAAGGAAGGGCCTTGGAAGGCCATGTCGACACGTTGCGAGCGGGGCGCGGCCAGCGAAAGCGGCAAAGGATGAGTCGGAGGGGAAGGATACAAGGGAAACCTTGGAGAGTCGCTCATCCTTACTATGCGGGCTGACTGTAGCCCCTCTGCCTATCTGGTTGACCCAAAGGGGTTCCAACGAAAAGAAGGTGGTGAAATAGATTTGTGAAGTTGCATGAAATTTGGGGCGTGCAATACATTCCGGTCCGCAAATGTATTACTGGTCTTTCGCGTGCAATGCAATAGCTGTTATACAATGCACAATCATTCTCTGGCGCAATATATTTGCAACGCAAGTGCCTCAAACCTATTGCAACACTCCCTTTTCAGCTGGACACCCTTTTGGGCCAACTAAAGCCTAGGCATGAGGCTTTGCTCTGGTCACTCTGCCTCCGGCTCCCGTGGGACAGATGAGCCAGCGCCTTCCTGATGTGGGCTGCTTCTTGTGCCTGCGGTGCCACCGAGCCACCCCTTCGCCGCCCCTCCTCTCCTTCTCTTCCGCGGCCGCCCTCTTAGGCTAGACTTAGGTCCAGCATATCCGTCTAGAGGCGTATTTTGGAAGAAAAAACATTGTTCTTTATGAAAAGCAAAATAAAACACACAAGACATTGTTATCATATTCTTGTTGTTGCTATTCTTGCAGATTTCTCCTGTAGAGGGACATACCCGACTTCAGGCTAGACTCCCACGTTCCAATGCAAGGCGAAGCCGGCACGATAATACATTCGGGTGAGGATAAATCGAAAATCTCTGAGATCCGGCAGCTCTGGAGGATGCTTCGGGCGCCGCGGCCTTCTCAGAGCGTTCCGGAACGCTCCGAGAGCGTTCCAGAGCGCTCTGGAATGGATCAATCCTCGTCCTAACCCCGTCCAACCGTGTCCCTCTCCTCTCGCGCAGGTTTGCCTCTCAGCGACCCCGCCCAGGCTTCGACCGCGCCGGGCGATGGCCAGGGCTGCACCACAAGAACATCAGCTCGGGCGACGGAGAGGAAGGGGTATTACAGTCAAAACTGATCGCATTGATGCGCGATGAAGGGTGCAAGACCTTTGGGCGCACATGCCGAGGCTTTATGTGTAGGGCTGACAGTCCAGAGCGGTCAGGGATAGACCGAAGGGGCAAAGATGCAAGGGTACCCTTGGGAGGGTTACCCATCCTCACTACAGATTCCGACTGTATGCGAGAGGACGTGAAGACCTGGCTGACGCAGGCCGCTAACGCGGCACTGCGCGCGGAGAGGAGGGGGGGCCTCCGCGCGACCTGCCGCGTGCACCTGACGCGCCAGGTGCCCGCTCGCTGCTTCCCCTCCCGCATTACCCGAAACTCCCAGAAGCCAGACGTCGTTCCTCCGTGCGGTCCGCGCACGGACGGGTGCGGGGAGGAGGAGAGGGAGGAGGAGGAGGAGAGGGAGGAGGAGGAGGAGGAGAAGGAGGAGGAAGAGGAGCTTGCTTGCTTGCTTGCACGCGGCTGCTGGACAAGATCACGCGATACTCCAATGCTCGCAAGAAACATCTAACGCGTATGCGCACCAGCACTCGTGCACATGAAGACTGACAACACGCTGCACGCGAGCTGAGCAACCCGTCACAGGGTAAAACTGCTAGAAGAATTCACATGTCCGCCGTCCGCACAGTGCTGGTGCTGCTACTATGCCAGGTGCGCACGGCTGCGCGTCCCGAAGCTCGATGGCTCCGAGGCAGTGCGTGCACATCGGTCCAGAGAAACTCACCCACCAAGACGGCCAGTGGCTTCGGAGATTGCCGACTCCACGTCGGTGTCTAAAGAGGAAAGCCGTCCACGTCCCCCCCACTGCCCCCGCGATAGTCCGTCAGAGCACCGCGAGCACTGCGATGCCGCGGGGGCAGTAGGGGGGACTAGACTCTACATGCATCCCTCCTCCTCCCCAGACTCGGACGACAGCGACACGACCCCCATCCACGTCTGGGCGCAGGGCGGCGAAGCTGCCGAAAGGCTCACGTGCGAGGCTCAAGCCGCCTTCAGCGCGTCGATCCAAGCGCTGATCTCGTCCTCCATGTAGCCCGAGGGGGCCATGCCGCTGGTCACCTGGGCTCCCATCGCGCGCAGCGAGGCTGTGATCGCCCCCTCCTTGGACTTGTCGTCGAGAGCCAGCACGATCATGATCATGTCCTCGTCCTTCCAGCTCTCCAGCCTGCACGGGCGGACGTCCACGGGCGGGGCCTCGACGAACTCCTGCTTCATCGCCTCCAACGCCCTGCGGTTGACCGCCCCCACCTCCTCGGCCGCCGGGCTCTCGACGAGCGCCGCAAAGAGAGCTGGGGCAGGGGGCCCCAGCGTGCGCAGCTCCTTCTGGATCTCCTCGGCCTTCATCGCCGCCTCCTTCTCGGCCCCCGCGTCGGAGCCGCTCGCCTTCTTGGCGTCCTCCTTGTACTTGCCTATCTGCGTGCGGAGGTTCGCCGCGTGGTCTGAGAAGTCCTTCGACTCCTGCTGGATGGCCTTGACCACGCTGCCCTTTTCTTCGATCAAGATGGCCCTGGTAGCGATCCCCCATAGTGCCCGCGATTTCTGGGTGAGCTGAGCCACTTGCATGCTCAACAGTAGTAGAATCTCTCGAAGGCCAGCATCCTTGGTGTTCAACTTGCGGCCCGTCTGCTCGGCTCGTCTCCGACCGCCGCGTCGAATCTTCGGCTTGGTCCCCGAGCCCTCGTTGCCTCCGCCGCCACGTTGGAGTCGTGCCCCTCCCTCGGCTCGAGCTCCCTTGCGTTGCTGACTCTCGTCTCCGCCGGTGGGCGCCTGCCCACCAGTCGGCGACTGGGCCAAGGAGCCCCCCTTGCGTGGGCGCCACCTCCCTGACTTCTCCACCTCCATGGGGTAGAAGGGTGTTGCTGCTGACGAACAAGCGCTCGACTGTGCGAATCTCACTGCCTCTCAGACGTGGTCCTGTAGCAGGAGCTGCGGGCCTCTTCGCCCTCGGCCTTGGTCTGGGCGGTACAGGTCTCGGTGTAACGACTGAGATGGATCTGCCCTCCTGCGTCGGCGGCAGGTGTGAGCACAAGTGGCTACGGAGGTTCTCGTAGGTCATGAACGAGGACTGGCACAGCGCGCACACGTGCGTGGTAGGCAGGTGGTGCGTGTACGGGTGCGCCGTATTGTGTTTGATACACCTCCCAGCGTGCCATGACCGTGCCAAGTGCCTCACCGCCTCCCCCCTGCTCTGAAAGACCGTGTTGCAGTTGATGCATGCATTGCTAGGCGTTAGAATATTGAATAAACTCTGTCCCCCATGCCCTGGTTGTCGAGACTGACATACATGTGCTACAAGCGCTGCACGCGTGCGAAAACCGTGTCCACATATCGGGTCATCTGGATTGGCTCTGATCGTACAAACAAAGACGTCCGCTTCTCCTTTTCCCCAAGTCTGCTGATCGTCCTGGGCGGCTGGCACAGTGTCTGCCAGGCAAGGCGGCGGTGCCCACTGCACTGCAGCAAAGGCGCTGCGCAGGCACCGCGGATCAAACGAGATGAAGAGGTAGTTCACCTCCTCGTCCCACAGCAGGTCCAGCATGGGGCCGAACCCCCACACCTCCGCGAATGACTCCGCTTCAGGTGTGCTGCACATCACCTCCAAGTCCTGCCGGAGCTGACGCGCCC